CAGTTATACAAAAAACCTTCCTTATAAACTTCGTTATAACAAAAAAAAATGATTCTACCTTCAAATGGCTCTAAATATAAGGATACATGTTGTACTATATTTAGAGCCATCTCGTTATGGAACACTCTAGATAACAAGACCATGTTCTCTAAAAGTTCTGAGGTGTTCAAAAAACATATCAAAAAATGGTATGCAAAAAATTGTTATTGTAAAATCTGTCGTTTTTAAATACAGTTTTTATTTATCCTGACATTATAATAAAATATTTACTCATTTTTCTTTAATGAAACGATTGTAATTTGAATATTTTAATATTATTTGTAATTTATATTTTAATTTTGTAAATTGTGGTTTGCTTTTTGTTTTTAAAAACTTTTTAAAAATTGGATTGTAAACTGACTATATATATATGACAATTTTTTTTCTTTTATTAACAACTTCCATGTGAGTGTGTATTGTCTATAATTGTTAAATGCGTTGATTTTAATTACTTTTATTCCTGTTGAAACTATTGTAATAATCAACAAAAAATAATGTTTTTAAATTAAAAAAAAATTAAATTAAATTAAAGAGGTTCCGAGTTCAATTCCCACAACGTCCCTGGTAGTATTTAACTTGTGTCTCTGCGCAGCATCCTTGTTCGTTAAGGTTCGTATTTCGGAGTTAAAGAGTCGAGAGAGAGTTAAAAATACAAGTAGCCTCCTAATTTGTAGTAACCTTCTTGGCAATGCGTAGATGAATTACAAAAAAACAAAAAAACAAAACTTTCCGCCCTTATACATAAAAAATATATTTTAAATTGAAAAATCAGACAAAAAAGAAATGCCAACTTATCAATTTAGACATTGAAAGATCTTACGAAAAACTGTTTTTAAGAATATTTGTTGGACCGCATCACTATATACTCCCTTGATTAAATTACCATTGCTTCATATGATATAAGGTAAAAAAGTGGAATTTAATATTTCGAAAACTCTTATATTTCAAAGTTTTAGGCAGCCATGGCGCAGTGGTTATAGGCAGGGGAAGCGCCAGATTATCCAATATTAACACTTTGTATCTGCTTGAAAAGAATTTAGCAGCGTTGATTATAGAGAGAAAGTTGCATTGTTGGATGTACCAGAATTAACTTTAATGTGTTTTTTGATAAAAGCATTTCTGACTTTCATTGTTGTATACTTGAAATGCGGCTTTGTAAAGTTATTGTTAAATGAATATTAAACAGATCATTTTATCATTATATTTAATCAATGCCTAACTAGAAACCGAGAAAAATGTGGCAGAGGCGTAATTAAGGTGAGGTGTAAGTAGAGAGACTTGTCACTTTGAAGACATGGGCATGTTTTTTAAGAAGAAGTAGCACATTTGTCGTTTTTTTCAATCGTTTTCTTTAAATTAAATGTTTTTTTAATAATACTGCATGGAAAATGTTTTGAGATTTTAGAGCATTAATAACAGATTTTTTTAAAAAAAGGACTGGGAACAGTACTATTTATATACAACATTTAGAATGTTGTATATAAACAGTCATATTCCATATTCAAAGACAACAACAAAGACAATAACAATCGAATTAACAGGGGTGATATTTATGTATCGCCTCAAAAATTATTTTATACCAAATATGTTTTTATTATGTTTATGGCTATAAAAACAGCCGTTTTTAATTTCTTTTATGAGGAGACTTCTTTTGTTTCATAAATTTCATTGATATATTAATATATATTCATATATTTCGATTTCTACCAAGTTGGTTGCACTAACTAACACTCTTTCAGTGTTTAGATTATCCAATATTAAAATTTTGTATCTGCTTGAAATGAATTTAGAAGCCTTGATTATAGTTGAATGTACCAGACTTAACTTTAGTTCTTTCTTTTGATAAAAGAATTTCTGACTTTTATAATTGTATTATTGAAATGCTGCTTTTTAAACTCATTGCTAAATGCATATTAAATAGATCATTTTATCATTTTATATTATCAATGCCTAATTAAAACATAGATTGAGGTGGAAAAAGCGTAACTAAGGCAATGTGTAAGTAGGGAGACCGGCCTTTTTGAAGACATGGGCATGTTTTTGATGAAGAAGTGCCACTTCTTCCTCAACAACATGCCCATGTCTTTAAAGAGGCTGGTCTTCCTACATAATCTTATATGTGTGCATATAAAGGGGCAAGTCTCCCTATATAACCTTGTATGTGTGCATATATAACTCCAAACTTTTCAATCAATATATGTATGTACAATAAAATATACCAGTCAGTTGATGTGTATAAAGAGAGTTAATGTATGTACAGAAAGTTTAAAAAAAAATCTCTGTATAAAAATAAAATAAAAATATAGAGTGATTTAGAGAAAGCAAAAATCTAGAGTGATCTAGAGTTACAGTTAATGTAACAGTTTTCTCTCTTCACAATTCAACAAAAACTGTATTTTGTTAACTCTGATATTCTTTCAATACAAAGAAGTTTAAAAAACTGAAATCTTGAATGGCTGTAAGGAAGTAATGGAACAACGCGTTTGTTTGAGCAAGAGTTTTAGATTTTTTTCTTTAATCAAAAAGGATAAAAGTTATGCTTAAGAAAATTAAAATAATTCTTGATATTGTAACATAGACCAATATTAGCATTGTCTTCTTTGAATGGTTTTTTGATAGAACACACATACATATCTCATATATATTATATGTGAGTTAATATAAAAAAGTATGCATGTATAAATGAGATATGTATATATCTGATTGTGTGTATATATGTATGTAAATTTTATGATATTTGTATGTATATATATATATATATATATATATATATATATATATATATATATATATATATATATATATATATATATATATATGTATATATATATATATATATATATATATATATATATATATATATATATATATATATATATATATATATATATATATATATATATATATATATATATATATATATATATATATATATATATATATATATATATATATATTGTTCTTTAACACTTTTTAAATTTAATAGAGCTGCTATTTCTGCTTCAGTAGCTATAGCTACTAATATATATTAGGTCCAATTCAGGCAAAATAATTTGCGCCATTGTTGTCTTTAAATGTTTTAATGTGCTTAAGGATCTTTTTGCAGTTGCTACGTTAAATGGTAATGTCAAATATATATATAAGCGCTGCTATTATATTATCAAATGAGCAACTTATATCACAACATGTTATTGTGGAAGTTTTCGATGTGTACAATGCAAGAAAATAGTGTTGAAAATATCTCTTAACCCTTAATTTATCGCTGTCCTACCAAAACAGTTAGTTCATGAGGGTAGATTCAATCTTCTTAGCCTTTTGCCGTATCAAAGATGACTTAAGCCATTTTGTTGCTTTGCGTTAAATAGATTCAACCAAAGTTTTAGTAGTTTTAAAATAAAAAGCTCAAATTAAAAGCTCAAAAAAGACACTGTGTTATTATGGTATGATCTAATAAACACTTTATACAACTTGAGAGCCATAGTTTCATCAATGAAAGTAAATGTCTTTTTTTATACCAAGAATTTTCAAAGACTTTGAGACAACTGTTTGAACTATGTGCTCCACTTGGCGTTACACGAAATAATGACTCCTAAATTACGCACTTTAGTAGAGCTTTTTAGGGATTGATTTATTATAACTTTTTATTTTGTTTTCCATTCATTCCGAAATATCTTAATCTAAGTCTGTTTTGAGGTAGAGAACCAACGCTTTGGCGAAATCAAGATTAGATTAATAAATTGGTTAAATACTACAGAAAATGAAATAATATCAAAAGTCTCTATTAGATTAGTCACACAGAATTTATTAAGAAAAAAGCCATGTTGATTTGCAGAGAGCATTTTATTATCGTTAATGTGCTTAAAGATTTTGTTCTTAACAAGTACTTTAATTATTTGCAGGCAACAGAGTTTATTGAAATAGGTCAAGAGTTTATTGAAATAGGTCAAGAGTTTTCAGCAAGTAATTTATCTTCCGTTTTAATAGACCGTACTTAAATTTGCTAAATTTGCTCTAGAGCGTGAGTATTCCAGAATTAAAGAATTTATGAAAGATTTTTGTAAATCGGAAAAATATTTATAGGGGTTTAGATTGGTAAATTATTAATGTCTGAAATAGAAAAACCCAAGTTGTCATCATAAGTTCATTCAGGTTAGGATCACATTTTTGACGATGGAAATTTTTCAGAAGGATGATGATATTATTTCTTTTTTATGAGTTCGTTTTGTTTTAAATATTTCAGCTTTTACGTAACGATGAAGAATATAGCTGTTTATTTTAAGTTTATTATTCCATTTAGTTGAGAAGTTGATATACCAAGCGGATTATTTTTTTCGAATTAAGATTTTAATATACGGAGTGACCCAAGGATTATACTTTGTCTTTGTGACTGATGGAATAAAGCTAAATATTGAATAGTAATCACCTGCTGTAACTAAACAACTGAGATTTATTTTCGCAAAACAGTTTTGTAACTAAAATTGCTCAAGTGATTCTAAAGTGGCCCTTAGTATTATTACCTAATATATGGAATTAAATAATAATTTTAAAATAGAATTACTGCTGTTGGTAAATAACAAGTCCAACATTTGGATGGAGCAATGGACACCAGCAATTTCTGGGAATTTATTACTTCAAGCTGGAGTAGTTACCTTATAATAAAATAGGAAATTTGGCGAAAAAAGTAACTTTCAAAGTTGAGTAGAAGCTATCTTATTTTAAAAATAAGCATTAAAATTCCAACTTAAAAGATTTCTTATAAGTTGCCATTTTTATTGGATATATTGGGGTTTTAACTCTGCTGGATAAACTGATAAAACTAGAAAGGACTGTTTTTAAAAGCATGCTAAAGAAAATACAAAATATATTTTTTATGCATCATTGACTCAATGATTATGAAAAATACATTTTCCGGTTATTCAATCGTGTTTTTCAAAAATAGTCATACATTTTTTCATGTTTTTTAGAGTTGACGCCCTGTTTGTTATGATATTCGGTCTTTAAAAAATGTAAACAAACGAAAAAGCAGAGTATCAAATTGTAAATTAAACCTTGCGCAAGCGTTTTACTGTTATTTTTAAGGAGTTATAAAATCTATAATATATATTAACTATATTATCAAACTTAATTTACTACAATAATACAAAAATGCCTCCTGTAAGATGAACTATACGGTGTAATTTATATGGTGGTAGCCCTTCTGATCTTTCTATTACAGATCTAGCGACTTATGGCGATGTAGCAATGTTATTTCTTGGAATGGAAATAAGATAAAACCTTTAACATTGTTGGAAAATTTTTTTTTGATCTGCTAGCATGTAACTGCAAGCTTGAGGTTCTTCCTTGTGATGACAGGAATATCAAATGCTGAGGTTGTTCAAATGTGCATCTTAACTGTAGATGTGTTGGTAGTAAAAAAGTAAGTTGTACAAATTTAAAGTAATTTATTTTAAATTAAACATTAAATTACTTATTTAACTTTTATTTGATAGACATTTTTATGGTTCATTATTATTTTTAAAATTTTTAGATAATAACACGTTTTACATAAGTTAATTGAAAATAATATTTAAAACCACAAATAGTTAATTAGGTTCCTTTGGAAGAACGCTCCTATATAAAAGACTAAATGGAGAAAATTGATACTAAAGGAAAGTTTCAAGTAGGAGGTATTGATAACTCTGTTTTATCACCTACCTCAAGAAAAACAAAGCAAACAAAAGCTTCTGATGAAGAAATTTATATTAAAGGGTTTGACACAATCATGGATTCAGATCAGGTAATAAACTGTGACCTGTAAACTTTGATTGCATGGTAAAAACTGTATTTATTCTTAAATTTCTTAACTCTTTTAAATATAATGCTCTAAAGTTAATTAGAGCATCTTAAATTTTAATACAATTAAATGTAAAACTTTCATTGTTATGATTTTTATTTTTTTAAAAGTTTTGTTCTATAATTACATATTGAAACTTCAATTTCATCATTAAATCAGACTAGATCAAAGTACTTTAACACTACCCACTATCGCAAACTTGCTTTAAAGGTAATTAGATATGGAATATCAGATGAAGCAGCTGCCGCCGTAGCTAATGCTCTACTTCAAGATATTGGTTATCTACATCTAAATAAACCAAGTCTATTGAAGAGAGAGAAAGAACGAGTATGTTTTAATGCTAATTTTGAGCAATCTAAAGTTTCAAATATAAAGGCAATTTGTTTGGATACCAAATATAATAAAAACTCATTGATTTATGAACAGAGAGATATTGATGGTGAAATAAAACTTTGTAAATCTACGAGCACTGTAGACCACTTGACATTCACATTTGAATCAGGTAAAGGCCAATGTTATCTCTTTTGCTTTGGTATTTTTTATTTTTTTATTTTTTTTTTACTTATAAAAATGTTTTAAATTGACTAAGGCGAGTTGCAAGGTCATATCTTAAGCACATAGTTGTACCTAAAGAAAAAGATAAAGGAAAAGATCTTGCTGAATTTACCTGTGATGTTCTCAAGGAGTTTAAGAGTGATAAAAGTATCCAGGGAATAATTTTGGACAATACAAGTGTTAATACAGGTATATTTTTTCTTCAAAAATACCTGTCTGAAAAATAAAAAAGATAATATAAAAACCTTTATTTGAGGGATATATTTTCATATTACAATATCATTTTAGGTAAAGATAATGGTTTAGTTGCTTGTCTTGAAAGAATATTAAAAAGAAGAATTCATATAATTGGCTGTCTTCTACATGTTAACGAGTTACCATTGTGCTAAACTTGATAATTCTTCTAATAGCTCAAATAGTTATTCTGGTAATCTAAATAATAATATTATTTTACATTCTTGGTGATAATAATATTAAGAGCAACATTATTAAAATTTATAGAAATTCTATTTTTTACTTAAGAGTTTTATTGCTGCTTTACTTTATTCTGATAAGCATAATTATAAATCATTATTTTTAAGTAAAAAGTTATAACTATTAATATAAATATACTTGATCAAATAATAATAATAATAATAATAGCAATAATAGCAATAATAATAATATTTTAAAGAACCAGTTGGAAAATCTTTGACAAATCCAATTGATTTAAATTTAACTGTTGACTTCATACAAGTTGAGACATACGTTGAATATCCTTCTCCCTGTGTCATTAAAGACCTCTCTGCTGACCAGAGAATGTTACTGGAATACAGTATTGGATTTTCATGAGGGTTTTCAGACAATAAGTATCTGAGAAAAAAAATAGGTGTGTTGTTTTGAAAATCATTTGTTTTTAATATTTTTCCTTTTATTTTGTTTGTTTGAAGTTTATGTATATACATATATATTAATATATAATTTACTATTAAATTATACATAAGAACAATCAATTCCAATGGAGAGCTCAACATCTTTGTTGAATATATTCAAACAGTATATACTCCTATATGGTTTAATATTAAAAAGTCTAAGAGTTTCACAGAAGATCCTAAACTCATTTTCCAATTTATTCAGCGGATTTTAAGGTTGAATATTGGAGTTCAAAATATTGCATTGCCCATATTTTATAGAAACTCTTTTTGTCTCCAACCTGAGAATTTTATTGCTGCTCTACTTTATTCTGAAGAACAGGTTTATAGAACAATAACTGTTGTTAAGATTTTGGAAACAAGAAAAACCCTAATTAAGGATCCTAAAAATGGATTAAAAAATGGTATTAGGGTTTATGCAATTCCAGTTATTAATTGAAAATGTAAAAAGTGGTCAAAATTAATAAATTTGTATGATTTGTTTTGAGCCCCCTTATCTGGAAGATATATTAAATGAGGAGCTTTTTAATATAATTCAGAATCATGGAAAGGCTCCTTACTTACCGCGTCACTCACAAACGGTTGAAAGAGCAGTGAAAATGACTTCTGACACTAGCGGAAAATTTGTTAACCTCAAGAAAAGAAATGCTCTTATTCTAGCTAAATGCCAAAGTCAAAAGAAACGAAAATATTTTAGAACAAAGAAAGAATATACGTTGTAATTTATTATCATTTATTTAAATCAATCTATTTGGTAATATGTTTGTTTATTATTAATATTAATTTGGTTCAGCAGTAAAAGTATAATCGATTTAGTAGTAGTTCACTTGCTGAATAAAATGTCTACAAAATCAAAAAGGCATAATAAAATCTTGTTTTTTTGGGTGTGTGAGGGGGGCGGGGGGAAGGATTGTTAACACCTACCCCGATATCTAATCACTACCCGTAAAAATAGTTTTCTTCTTTTGATTCTGTATATTAGAATAAATACTGATAAAAAGTGCTGTAACAGCATAACATTGTTGTCCATGTTTAAATCCGTTTTTCAGTTAATGGCTAATGATTATTAAAAATCGCTTATTGTTATGATAATTATTTTTCCAACACCCTAAAAACAACCTTAAAAAGTTAAGTTAAAATTATTTATACAACTTATCCTTATAAACAATACATTCATAAAAGTTTTTGTGCGTTAACGTTTCAAATATTTATTGTGTGACCTCTTAAAGTTTTTACTCTTTAATGATAATATTTGATAAATATACGTCCAAATAAGATAGAATCGGAAATACCTGAAGCTTTTATATTTTGCCCACAATGTTTTTATGGTCTAAAGAAGGTTATCCAGCTTGAAGTAATTTGAATTTCGATAAAAAGTTAAAAATCACAGTTGTCTATTGAATATTTGTAAATTAATACGCATGTTGTTATGCACGACTTTTTATCTAATTAAATTTTTTAGTTTTAGATTATAAAAAAATATGGTTTAACATATTATTTTATGTTATAAAAAAATTATAATATAAAAAAAATTATAAAAAAATATGGTTTAACATATTATTTTATTTTCGTATGTATTTATAATATTTTATATCTTATATATTTTCTTATATATTTTACCTTACATACTCTTATATATTTTTTACGCGTTTTTACGTTTTTTTTTGTTGGGTTTTTTGTCAGGTGGTTTTACAAGAGGGCCCTAACTACATTTTGTTATAACATCTATGCCACGTGAGTCATTGTTACGTAGAATTTTGACCCCTAACACCTACACCACGTGGAGCTATGGTCCCTGTCAACCTTTGTCAAACTTTTTTCTAACCCGCGATAAATTGTCACGTGTTTTAATCCGCGAGTAATGCTTACGATGGGGGAGGAGGAAGGGTAGCGGTGGGGGTTAGGAGCGGTTCAATAAAATTTTTCAAAAAAATATTTTTTTTATTAAAACATTTTTTTTTTAAATAAATTTGCTACGTAACCATTTTCAGCCGTTTATTTAGTTTTATATTTGTATGGGAGAGAATGCGAATTAAAGACACCAGCTATACAAAATTGATTATGTTTATTTCTTTTCTTAATTAGTCAAACTATTCAGACACAATCCCTTTAAAATAATAAAAATTATGTTGTTTTGACCTTGTTTGGAGTTGTAATTATTGTTTTGAATAAATAGTCAATATAAAAATGAAGACCTTGGAAAGAAAACTTCAAATGTCACAAACGATATTTTTTTCAGAAGAGCCTTTAAACTATTGATGTTTTTCAAAAGTACTTTTTTTTGCCAGTCAATTTGAAAGACATAATTTTTAAAGAAACATATAACAATAGTCATTACACTGACTTATATAAAGACAACCAAAAAATAACATAAATCCAATTAGCATATAGGTGGACATTTAAAGTTTCCGTTCCAAGGTCTACAAATATTAACCTTGTTTATTTTTATATGAATGTCTCTCACGCAATATAACACAATGTTTAAGCAATACATTTTTATGTGTTAAAAATAATATTTTGCGTGCTAAAAATAATATTAACTTAAAAACGTAACTATCTTTCTATACAGTTCTTGATATTAAATAAAAAGTATAAATACTCCATTTCTTTAATATAACTTATTTAGGATTCGGCTAACTGCAAGCAGATTGTGTGTGTTTTAAAAGTCAGAAACATGAAATTTTTAGCTAAAATGAAACTATGCATAATAGTATTCATGATGATTACCTGCGTCTTTGCAAAAGAAAAACGAGCTATACCAGGTAAGCTTGTAATACAACTACTTTAAAGGATTTTAAAAATTTAATTACGCATTTAATTTAAAAGCATTTTTTATCGATATTTTAATAGTAAATAGTAATCTTTTAAAATAATAATCTGAACGCGATATACCCAGCCATTTACTTTTAAAATTGAAAAGTTTTCAAAATGTCCAGACTTATAAAAATTTGTTTGTATTTAGATAGCTTATTAAAAACTAAATAATAAATGGCATTTAAAAAATCCATCATTCAACCCATACTTGCAATTTTAAAGAAAACAAGTTAGTATTGTAAGCAATTAATTAACAATAAACTTTTATTTAAATCAAGATGTTATTTAATAAATATTAGCTTTACTTTTAAAGTAAACCTAATGTGATACCGACTCACAAATCTCGCTTAGATCAAAGACGTATTTAACGATGGACGTTTAACGCATTGTTTAAAGGCAAAGATATCCGCGCTATCAATTGACCTTTCCCCCTAAATGCAATGCATTATGGTATTTGTATGTACGCAATTGTATGTATGGAATTATGGTATTTTTATGTAAACAACAAAAATAAGTCCAGTAAAATATCAAATATTGAAAGAACTGAGATTGTCCCAATAGACTTTAGTGTAAACATCAAAAAATAGTCAAAAAAGACGACCATTTCCAATATCCAGTTTATAAAATGCATATTATGTAAATCAACGTAAATATTGCAATTTATTAATTTCTTTAAAAATAATTCTAATATTACATAATTTAGTTTTCTAATCACAAAAAGATAATTTTGTTATCTAAATATAATAAAAAACTTGTGAGGCAAAAGCAGTTTGATTTCCGTCAAAAATAAAAATTATCTTTTGAATCTTTAAAAGATTAGTAAAATATAATTGAAGAAAGTAATTGAATATAATAATTGAAAGAATATAATTGATTACAAACAATCTCAATAATTTATAGTATAAACGATCAATTATATTCAGCATTTCCATATTGCTTTTTAAAAAAAACATTAATTTTGTACGTCGAAGGTTTTTTTAAAATGTAAGTTTGACGCATGAATTAAAATATTTTCAAACACGTGATATATTCTTAATTACAAAATATCCATTTATATTTCCAAAAAGTTTGTCATAAAATGTCTAATGGAATTAGCAAACCATAAATGTCGGTTTAATTCAATAACTTATTTCAAAAAAAGAGACAAATTATAAAGTACAGAGAGTTTCACTAATTATAGCCGTCTCTTATAAGAGACGGCTATAATTAGTGAAACTAGTATAGTAGAAAACTAGTAGAAACAAGTATACTTGTAAAAATGACTTAAACGTTTAACTTTTCAAACGTTTTTTATTTGGCAAATCCGTCTCCAGACTTTTGAATACTGCGTACATTCAAAAATCTAGAGGACAGGTTTATCTAATTAAATAAATTTTTTACAACTAAAAGTAAATACAGTTTTTACTTTTATTTGTAAAGAACTTTGTTTTCAATAAAACGACGTTTTTTTGTTTTTACTAACTTCTATTATTAGTATTATTATTATTATGAGGAATTCAATTTTTATTTTTATTAATATTAAAAGTTTTTAGATTTAATAAAAATAAATTCTTTAATATTTTATTAATTTTGTAATGAAGTGTTATTTCCTATTGCAGTTGCTTTAAAAAAAGAGAATTATAATGCAACTGCATTAAAAAAACTGCGAACTTAAAACTAAAGTAAGTTAAACTTTTATAATTTGAAACTTAACACATTTAATTGACGTGTTAATGGCTAACAAGCTTAGCTTTGTGTAACAGTTATTTTTTTTTTTAAATTCGTTTAATAGTTCATTTTTTATGCCAGACTTGAGCTATTAGCGTAATACATTTCTTTTTGCTATTAACATCATGCTATTAACAATTTTTTTGGAAATTTATGTATACAAGATATTCTATAACTAACTTCCCAGTGGTCACAGACGAAAAAAAGACGTCTTTTAAACGTCTTATACACGTTTTGGACTCTTTTGAATCCCTTTTGAACGTTTTGGACGTCTTTTGAACGTTAAAAAGACGTCTTTTCTTGGTCCGGTGGCCACTGGGTTCAAGTCTTTTGTTTAACTTTGTGGCTTTTAATGCTTTAATAAAACCTTAAGTTTCAAGTTTCTACATAAGAGCTCATTATTTTAACTTTGCTTCTGAGTTCAGTAATAATTATTCTCAAATTTTATGTGAGCTGCTATTTGAACAAGCTACCTTTTAATATTGCCCTAATTTGTTAGAAAAAATAGCAGTTTTTTTAATACATTGAAAAAATTTATTTGAAGCGATTCTTTAGGTATAAAAAAGTTCAAGCATGAAAAGAATTTAAAATATACATTAACTTCATTACTAACTCCATTTCATGTAAAAGTTGTATAATTCAAACCATCAAGTTAATTTTTTTTTCTAAAAATTCATCTTTAAAACATCTCGATTAGAAACTCTATAGAACTGCCATCAATAAAGTTATCAAGCTTTTACTTTCTACTGTATGTAACTGTGTTAAAAGTTCCTTTTCGTAGACTTGTTACTTTTTGTTGTCTTGTGTCTCATATCTCTATTAACTACGTGATTAAAGTTAACCTTCAATGTACCATTTTTAACTAGCATTCACCATAGAATACCGAAAACATGTTTAACGGTAAATACATTTAACCAAAAATTATATGTATTTATACGAACTTGCATAAATATAACACATACTCATTTTTATCTGTGTCAATTCCCAACACTAAAGTA